CCCCCCCAACACATATCACATAAGGATATAAATTAGATAACAAAATGAAACTGTCTCCTCTAGTTTTGTTTTTTCAGTATTTAAGGAAGGTATTAAAAACATTTAGAAAATATAATAGGAAATAAAGAACCTTCTCAAAATTACAGTTGAGATCCAGGCAGTATTGTATGTCATTAACAGTCAGGTAATAAAATTTTCTTGAGTGTACTCTCTAGCATTGCTTTTTTTTCTTAATTAAATGTTTTAATAATATCTTCATTTTCAGATATTTTAACAAAGAATAAAAATAAACGGACAGGGAACAGTTCAGCAGAAGTAATCAACTTGTAAACCAAGATTAATAAATGGCATATATAATATTCTACTACCATAGTCTTCCAGTCTCTACAAAAAAAGAGGAGAGGAAGAGGCATTGCTTTTTGAGATTATCCTTAATATTACCTATTTCCTAAAGTGTGATAATTTGTGCATTGATAGTTTACTGAGCAGTAGTTTAGTGGTCTATATAGGAAAGTTAATGCATTTTCATCTAGTTGGTCTCTGAGGTCCATTCTAGCTTCTAGGTCTATGATCTTGTGAACTTTACTTGAAAAACAATTTGCTGTTGACTAACATTGGATGATAAAGAGGCTAGTCATGCATATACTTTGGATAGCCTCATTAAAAAGCATTCTTACCTCAAGGAGAGGTTTATAAAATGTCAACTTACTTGAAAGTAACTCCGATTTATCTATGGTGTAGCTAATTATTAGAAGCTAATGAATAAAATATTATAAAAATTATTACTTTGTAGTAAGTAGATTTCCATAATACAATAAATACTAATATGGTATCTTTGTCAATCTAAGTACCTTAAAACCAGAATATTTTACAGTATAAAGTAACTTTTTTCTTTTTTCTCTTTGCTAGGTTTGTAAATATTACCTCTGTGGTTTTTGTCCTGCTGAATTGTTTACAAACACCCGTTCAGACTTAGGTAAGTTGTTTTTTGTTTTTTTTTATCTGTCTTTTTGGGGGCATGGGTGAGGCAATTGGGAGAGTCACACAGCTAGTGAGTGTTATGTATCGGAGGCTGGATTTGAACTCATCCTCCTGACTCCAGGGTTGTTGCTTTATCCACTGCGCCACCTAGTTGCCTCTAAGTAATTTTTTTTAATTGGTCATTGTCATTACTAAGTGTAGATTTTTAAAATGCTTTCCTTTATAATACTATAAAGAAATATTTCTTCAAGGTTTGCCAATAATTTAAGTAATCTATCTCTTCCTCAGTTTACTAGTAGGTTAGTCTACTGCTTTGGTTTTTGAGTTCTCTTAAAAATACAAGTAACAACCTCCCAGAACCTTATTTGTAAAATAATAAGATAATTATAAGATAATTTGTAAAAATAAGATAATAATAAAATAATAAGAAATAGAAGAGATGTTGGACTGTGTGAACTCCAGAGTCCCTTCTAGTTCTGAATCCCCTGATGCTTTAAAGAGTGCTATATGTATTTAGACCAGTATTTTTTTTCCCGTCTGAGAATGGCACTAGGGAATATTATGTGGAAGAGCTTTATAGGTACCCTTCAGAACAATTGAAAGGTTATTGATATACCTTGAATATTCTTAACTTCCTCTTTGCATGAATTGATACAAGACATTTTCCATGAATCTATTATTAGAACAAATTGAAGATCAAACATAATTGCATTTCTGTGTAGTAATGAACAAAATGGTTATTCAGTATATGTTTAACCCCTTCCATTGACTGCAAAAGGTTATTTGCTGATAGGTTTTCTTTTTTTGTTTGTTTGTTTTTTCATGTCTTTATTCCTAGGTCCATGTGAAAAAATTCATGATGAAAACCTTCGGAAACAGTGAGTTGCTGCTGCTTTTGTAACCTTTTATACTGTTTTTGATTTAAAAGGGCAAGATTCAGAGGATGCTTAGAGTTTACTAAAGAATGCATGTAGCACTATTTTATGAAGTTTTTGACTAGAAGTGGTAGCAAAGTCATCCCCTTTTTATCTTTTTATACACAGCTTTTGGAGATGGTTGGCTTATTAAATAGGGGGTAGCAGAGTGATGATTGGGACTTGGCAGCTTAATTCTCATTTTGTGGTAGTGTATACCTCAGCTTGAAAGAAAGCCTCAGAATAGTTAAGGTAACAAATAAAAGTAATCAGTTACTTTATAAGGTATAGTGGTGACTTTCAACATAATATCGTGTAGAGTGATTTCTGTATAAGAGGGCACACATTTTTGTGTTTTGTTTTTCATTTTGTCAGGTATGAGAAGAGCTCTCGTTTTATGAAAGTTGGTTATGAAAGAGATTTCCTGAGATATTTACAGAGCTTACTTGCAGAAGTAGAGCGCAGAATTCGACGGGGCCATGCTCGATTGGCACTATCTCAAAACCAGCAGTCATCTGGGGTAAGTTTTGAAATGAGATTTCTCAGTACTGGAGCCTTCATTCTGTACTTTCCCAATAATACAACATCATTTTTCTCTTTTTACTTTTAGAATGACATAAGATTTAAAGGCAGTCACTTTATTTTTACTTTTCTGTGCTGTTAAGCATCCGTGGGGCAGCATGGTGTAGTAGATAGGGACCTAGCCTTGTAGTCAATAAAATCTATGTTGAAATCCTGCTTTTGACACATACCAACTTTTGTGACTATTGGCAAGTCATTTAATAATGCTCAATGCCCATGGCAATTTCCTAAGATTGTTATAGCTGAGATGCAGTACTGTTAAACATAATATCAAATTTACTAACTGGAAGAAATCAAAGAACTGTAATACTCCATGTACTTTACTGTAAGAATAAAAATCTGAAGAAAAATTTATTTTGCAAGTTGCTTCTGGTTAAGGATTTTAATTGGCAAACATTTATCCAATGAGGTGTCAGATTGTAAAGGTTTGCCATTTTTTTCTCCATCATGAGTTGTTGGTTTGTGTTGCTTTCTTGATTAGGCCGCTGGACCTACTGGCAAAAATGAAGAGAAGATTCAAGTTCTAACTGACAAAATTGATGTACTTCTGCAACAGGTAAGAATTATAGACATAATACCAGAAAAAGTTGAATTTGTTTGTTTGGAACTGTCTAATTGGTTCTGGTTTTATTAGATTGAAGAATTGGGTTCTGAAGGAAAGGTGGAAGAGGCCCAAGGAATGATGAAACTTGTTGAACAGTTAAAAGAAGAGAGAGAATTGCTTAGATCCACAACGTCAGTGAGTAACAGTTTCATTCTAAGTTATTGTGTGGTTTCAGAGAGAATTGATTGGCCTGAAAATATCTTATAGAGATTATCCTCTCAGTCCCCCAAAGTTTACAAGTATTCATTTATCCATTAATACTTAAAAAGATCCATCATTTCATTGGTGATGGATAATTCTCCACTAATTGATATATAACTATACAAGTTGTTTTAACTAGTAATATTCATTACCTGATGACCAGTCTTATGATTATGAGACTCTCTCTGTAAACTTAGACTGATCTATGGAAAATAGATATAGTCTTGAAAGCTTGAATTTCTGTATCAGTGATGCATAGTGTTGGGGAAACAAGGGTCACCTCTGAGGCAGAGGCAGTAGAGTAGAACTTTACAGGAGGGTTTATATAATTTTCCATAGAGTCACACATTATTTTCATACAAGTTAATAATAAATTACTCAGCAAGTTTTTTTACTTAGTGAAATGAAAGTGCTTTAACAACATCTTCCTCTTGACTCTAAATGGAAAATGTCCAGATATTACATGTTGACCAAACATTAATTGATTTCCAAGCATTCAGTTTACGTTGTTTGGCTAACTTATGAATAATAAATGTTCCAAGTACCAAATATCATGTGCTGTGATATTTGAAGGGATAATGTACACAGTATCCTTTAATCCATTGCAACAACATGTTTTAACAAGTTGTTGATGAGAGGGACTTTTTTTTAGATCAGGGTTCCCTAACCATTAGATTACAAATCCTTTCCTGCTTGATTTCCAAGTTGGCATTTCCATGCCTCCTACTGAGGTTTGCCAGGATTCCAGCTCTGCTCAAAGACTTTACTCTCAACATCCCCTGAGGCGCCCACCTCCACCACCCCAAATCTCAAGGCTTCAGGGAAATTAAAAGTAGCACCTCATTGAAAGGTTGGTGTCCCTTGTTCTGCAGGTTAGAGCTTGTTCCATGCTTGTCTTTAGTTGGGGTGTGGGGGGAATGTTTTTATAACTGACTTCTTGTTTCAGACTATTGAGAGTTTCGCAGCTCAAGAAAAACAAATGGAAGTTTGTGAAGTGTGTGGAGCCTTTTTAATAGTGGGAGATGCTCAGTCCCGAGTAGATGATCACTTGATGGGAAAACAACACATGGGCTATGCCAAAATTAAAGCCACTGTAGAAGAATTAAAAGTAAGTATTATCTTAATGGACCAGGAGAGACAACATACATATTTAAATATGTACAGAAAAATTACTAAACACTTAAAAGTTTGGTCAGGATCAGGAAAGGCTATATGTAGACAGTGATATTTGAGCTATACCAAGAGCTTTTTCCAGTTTTCTAAGGCCGATACAGAGTCTACCAGGCAAAATAGAGGAAGGATGGAATTCTAGCAAGGAGGATGGCTAGTACAAAGGCGTGAAGGTGAGAGACAGAAGTGCTGTGTGTGAAGAACAGGGAGGACAGTTTGGCTGGATTGTGGGGTGTGGGAAGGAAAGTGATATATATTGAGGCGGGAAAGATAGCTTAGGGCCACGTTGTAAAGGGTTTTTAAAAGCCAAGTAGAAGAGTTTGTATTTGATGCTAGAGAAAATAGGAAGTCATGGGTGTATTATGAGTAATAAGCCTACAAAAGAGACTAAGAAAGAGTGGTTCGACAGGTAGGAAGAGAACCAGGGGAAAATAATGTTATGAAAACCCAGAGAAGTAAGATTATGCAGGAAGGAGATAGTAGTTTATAGTGTCTTATGCTCAGGAGAGAATAGAAGAATAATGACTAAGAAAAGACCATCAAGTTGTTGGTGGAGAGCAATTTTGGTGAATGGTGACGTCAGAAGCCCAATTGCATAGGGTACAAGAGTGAGAGGAAATGGAGGCAATGAAAATAGATAGTTTTTTTTATAGTTTGTAGGTAAAAGGAAGAGCGATACAGTATGATAGCATGAGGTATGGTAAGGTCTAATGAAGTGTTTAAAGGATGGAAGAATTCTCAAGCTCCTTTGAAATTAGTAAGAAGGGAACTATTGCAGTTTAAAAGCTAAAGGGAGATGGGATGATTGAGGAATGAGATGAGATCTAGGTTATTTAAAAAGAGACTGGCCTTGGCAAAAGATCTTGGAGCTTAAGGGACCTTAGAAGTTATTGAATCCAACCCCCTTATTTTGCCTTTAGGGAGTGACTTGCCCAGGGTCACATAGCTAGCAAGTGCCTGAAATGAGATTCAAAACTGTTATTGTCCTAATTCAAAAGTCTGGTGATTAGAGAGTGGACAAAAGGAGAAGAAAAGGGGAGATAAATCCAGGGGGCTTTTGATATGAAGAGGAGCAGAGAACAAGGTGCTCATAGGACATGACTTTAGCTTTCTCAGTAAAATAAGAGGTAAAAACACTTGAAGGGAGGGAAAAATAGGAGGCTTGAGAAAAGAGAGGTTTTTGAAAGAACAAAAAACCAGTTTGAGAAGCATAAAACAATTTCTTACTGAAATTAGGATCCAGTTGAAGTGAAATAAATCTCTGTTCGAGTTTGGTTTCCTAACTTCCTCTAGATCTGTTTAGCTGAACATGAATAGAAAGGGAAGACGAAATGTAGGATTCAAAGACAGTCATTCTGGTTTGGAGAAGAGTAGTGAAAGGACATGGGAGTCAGGGTAGAGAACAGTATGGAGTTGAATTACTCAACTGAACTTGAGAAGGGAAGAAAGTGAAGTTGGGTGACCTCTTGAGAAAAAATGAGAGATGGAGAAGTTTGAGGGTGAAATGAGTTTAGGAGGAGTGAGACATAAGGAATTATAGAAAGTTATTGTCAGAGGTATGTCAGATTTCAGTCAGGGAAGTAGAAAGACACACTTGTGGGTGCTGATTCAATTCAGGCTGTGATTATCATTGTGGGTGTCAAAAGTAGAGTGGTATGAGATTTGAGGAACCAGCAAGTTAGGGTGTTTGAAGTAGCATCAAAGTGAATGTTAAGACTGACATGGTAAAATCACAAGTTGAGAAAGAGGAAGACAGTGAGCCAAGTGCTTGAACTCCTTGAGAAGGGAAGGAGAATGACTTGAGGGCTGATATGGCTGGATAGTATGAAAACTTCTTAATAGAATCAACTTCAAAGAAGAAGCTAAAGAATTGTGGCAAAAGGAGTCTGAAAGTGGCAGTGAGGAGCAAGGAATATTCAAGACTTCCCCATAGGACTAGTGTGTCAGGAGGAGAGGGAAAAGTTACCAGCCAGTGTTGGAGAGGTTGGTCAGGGATGCAGTGTAATGTGAAAGAAGCCAGGTCCCTGTGAGTACAAGTATAGGTGCAAGAAGTATGAGAGGAAGTGTTTCAGAATGAAGGAAAAGTTTGCTCATTATGGAATGGAAAGGATGGGCAGAAATGATGTGAAACATGTGGAGATTTGAGAAAGGAACTTGGGGTACTGGACCTTGCTGCTTACTCTTCTGGGAGCAGACTAAAGAATCATTAAATTGGCCAAACAGAATTTATTTTATTGGCAATGTAAGTGGCTATCAATTATTTAAAGGTGGATAATAGGATTTGGCTGATCATTTGGGGAGTGGGAAGCAAATACTGAAGTAGATGGTGGGTTTTTCCGTGCTTAATAATTTAACTAGCTTAACAAAAGATTGGTAAAATCAAGAAATATTAAGTACACGTGTCATGAGATTTAGAACTTAGAGACTTGATAACTCCAACTTCCCCTCTTTCTAGTTATAGACTGTTTTCATTTTCAGTCTCCTGAGCTATGAGAGAAACAACTCTGAAAAGTCTTACGATCAACCACCCAGTAAATCTGGAATGGAAAATAGACAATTTATAACGGGTTTGGACAATCTAAAGTATTTTAAAGGGTAACTATAAGTTTAAATCTAATCTTTATTCCTTAGGAAAAGTTAAGAAAAAGAACCGAAGAACCCGAACGTGATGATCGTTTAAAAAAAGAAAAGCAAGAACGAGAAGAGAGAGAGAAAGAAAGAGAACGAGAAAGAGAAGAGAGGGAAAGAAAGAGACGAAGAGAAGAGGAAGAAAGGGAAAAAGAGAGAGTTCGTGACAGAGAAAGACGAAAGAGGAGTCGTTCACGAAGTAGGCACTCAAGCCGGACCTCTGACAGAAGATGCAGTAGGTCCCGGGACCACAAAAGATCAAGAAGTAGAGAAAGAAGGCGGAGCAGGTACTGTTGTGCACTGTTAGCTGTATAGCTGCCCACAAGTAGGAGTTTGAATTTGATGCTTTAGAACTATAGAAGTGGATGATACAAAGTACTTCACATATTTTTTCCATTGCTCTTCAGAACAGTTTTTTGAAGTTAAATAAGCAAGTTGTCTTATTCCCCGGTTTTAGGATGAAACTGATTCAGAGAGCTAGAGTGGCTTACTGTTAGTGGTGGGATTGGACATCAAGTTGAGTTCCTCCAACTTTGAGTTCACTTTTCTTTTAAGATTTTAAGGATCATTAAATGCTGAAATTTATTTCAAGAGAAAGATTGATCACTCAACAGAATAGTCTTCATTGCAGATCTTTAATCAGATCAATTGCAAGCAGATTGGGTATCCAATTTTTTTGTTTTTTAAGGTAATTGGGGTTAAGTGACTTGCCCAGGGTCACACAGCTAGTAAGTGTTATGTGTCTGAGGCTGGATTTGAACTCAGGTCCTCCTTACTTCAGGGCTGGTACTCTATCTGCTGCACAACCTAGCTGCCCCTGGGTATCCGATTTGTAAGAGGAAAGAGGAAAATGATTTTTGGAGTACTTTTCCAGCACTGTTATTCTGTTAAGATGTTTAAGCATTCAAGAGTGTTAGAAACAAACCAGGATGTGGCTTATTGTTTTTCAGGGTTGCCAGATGAGCTGTATTTCTTTCACTTTCTACTGTGCATAATTTTTAAATGAGCTGTCCTTTTTGAAAACATGGTAATGATCAAAAGTTAGTGGTGTTTTGTTTGCACTGAGTATTCAAGGGATGAATGTTTTAGAATAAGCTAAATGATGAATTCTAAAAGTGTAACATAACTAAAGCAGAGGTTCTTAACCTTTTGTGTCATGGACAGCTTGGACAGTCTGGTGAAGCCTATGGATCTCTTCTAAGAATAATATTTTTAAATAACTGAAGAAAATTCTAAATTTCAAGTAGAGGTTAGAGAAAATAAAGATGACTTTTTTTTCTTTTTTCATTCTACTTCACAGACCTTCTGAAATCTAACCATCCCAGATCAAGAAGTCTTTCTCTAAGGGGAAAAAAAGCCTTATCTCTTAGTAATTCACACTTAGATGTAAATGATAAAAATATACTGCTAGGTAAATAAGTTTAGGCAATTTTCTTTTAATAGTATGTTTTGCCTTTCCTTGTTAATTGTCAGGATTTTTGTTTTTGTTTTTAAAGACTTTTGACTAATGTTGGCTAAAATTTCACTTTATTTTCAACGATTAAGGAGTAGAGATCGACGGAGAAGCAGAAGCCATGAGAGATCAGAAAGAAAACATAGATCTCGGAGTCGAGACCGAAGAAGATCAAAAAGTCGAGATAGAAAATCATATAAGCATAGAAGCAAAAGTCGGGACAGAGAGCAAGATAGGAAATCTAAGGAAAAAGGTTGGTTTTTTAAAGAATTTTATGAGATTATTCCCCCACTTCCTTCTTATCCCGAACTATTTTCCTTGAAACAACAGTGGAATATGAAGATATACCCCTTTTTAAGCAGCAGAATGAGCTTGTCATTTTTTTTCTATTACAATTTAAATGTAAAAATGTCCATTAACTTGGTGTTTATACCCTTCAAATAGCACTTGTCAGTGACACACTCTGAAATTAGATATTTTGAAGATTTCAATTGGATTTCCATTGCACAGCCCTTCTTTGGTTATTGGTAACAATAATGGCAGTTTATTAATTAGATGTGCTTTAATGGAGGTTCTGTTGTGTGTCATTACCATATTGATACTGTCATTTTTATTTAGTAATTATATTCTAACTCCTAAAACAACCTTCAGATAAGACTTGACTATGTTTTTTTTCTGGTAAACAAATATTCTCCCTTTTCTGCTCTTCCTGTTATCTCTCTACCCTTTGTTTTGTGCTTTTCCTATATTTATATCTATATTTATAATGAATATATCATCTCAAGAACATTTCTCGACTTAACTTTCTTAACTTTTCTGTAGATCATTTCTTTTCATCATCAAGGCTCCCTTTCTGCTTTTGCCTTTTTTCTTCATATTTCATTAGATCTAGGCTTCCTTCTCTTTGTACTGACCAAGCTGTTTAAGTCTCTGTTCCCTGAAAATGTGTATGTTTTCCTATCTTCTATGTTTGTAAGTGATGTAAAAGAAGAAAAGCCTGATTCTGGTTTTTGTAGGCTTATAATTGTTCCTTTCCTTCTATTTGATTTGTGTACCTGTGTTATTATCAGTAGTTTTGGTATGTGCTTTTGTTTTAAAGTACATGTGCTAGTTTTATGTAGTGCTTTTTCTTTCCTAGTATGGAAATAAGCTAGTATTATATTCTTGCTTTGGATTCCTGTTCTTAGATAATTTCTTAAATTTTTAATGATGAATAAAGAAGACCACCAGAAGAAACTTTCTAAGATATGCATTTTAATAATTGTGCCTTCTCCTGTGTGTATCCACCATTTTCACCACCTGGAATGCAGGCTTACAGTACTCTCAGCTTCATCCTTAATTAAAAGAATAAGAAACGTGGAAGATAATTTTATTTCTGTCTCTTAACCATACAGTTGTTGTCAAGCCTTGATCCTTTTTGGTGAAACAAGTAGGTGGTGAATTTCTGGTTCAGAAGGCAGTTGATGTCAAATGTTTCTACATATTGCATAGATTAAAAAAAAATCCCCACCTAATTGTCATTTGTAAGACTTTTAGGATAGTGTGTTTTATTGACAAAAGGATCAGCTCTCAAGATCCATATAGTACTGACAATAGAGATCAAACTGGTGGTTTCTTGGGATTTCTGCTTCATTGTTTTTGAAAGATCATTCTCAGTGCCATATCGTTGGAGTCTAGACTTTGAACACTAGCTTATCCATTAGATCTAATAGTACTTAATTCATTTGTGCTCTTTGCTGCCGTTGATTCATTTTCCACCATATGTAGTTTTTGTCATAACCATCTAAGAGTGGTGTGACTAAAAATAAATTAAAAATTTTGGTAAGATTACAGGGAAAAGATTAAGTCATTGGCAGCTTGTGGTACAGTGCATAGAGCACTGGGCCTGAAGTCAGGAAGACCTGAGTTCAAATCTTACCTCAGACACTTAAAAGCTGTGTGACCCTGGGCAAGTCACTTAACCTCTGTCTCAGTTTCCTCATCTGTAAAATGGGAATCATCTTAAAAAGCACCTACCTCATGGGGTTGTTGGGAAGATCAAATGAGATAATAATTGTAAAGCACTCACCATAGTACCTGGCCCATAGTAAGAACTATATAAATGTTAGCTATTATCATTATTATTAGTCCTAAATTCATTTCTATCAAATCTTAACTCATTCAAGGTATTGACTTACTCGTTCAACAACCAAAATGTCATTTTAAAGAGTAAACAAAAGTCCGATAAAGTAGTAGCTAAACTGTGTTAATTGTGATGACCAAATATAGTATTTTCCATAATGATATTTGGAGGAAAGGACTTTGTGATCAAAAAAATTCTTATCAGACCCATCTTTCTAAGATCCAATATGCTCTAACTGACTTATTGCCAAAATAACATTGTTGCTTTTGAAATTCATTCAGAAGCAGTCTAAAGGCATTTTAAATGCTGCATGACATACATGCTTATTGTGATTTATGGACCAGGCAGTTAGGGACAAGGCAAGGAGTATACACTGCTTCATAATGGCATGTTGCTTAAGTTCAGTACCCTCAAGAGTGCTCTGTTGGAAACAGTGTCTTCAGTTCCAAGGAGAGAGAATTTTGATGGTCACAGAGATCTTCTGTTAAGTTAAGTAAGGCTACTCTCTTTGTCAGGAGAGTTTTCCATTCTTTTTCATAGTCCTGAAATCCACTACACCTTGTGGATGTCCTTAGGACTATTAAGATCTACCATATTTACATAGGGCAGAAGATAAGATTATTGGACTGACTACTAGTCCTCTGCGGGTCAACAAGACGACTCTTCCACATTGGAGCTTACCTGTGCATCGGAGAAGCCCATAGGGCACAAAGGGAAGACTTTCCCACAAGGTTAGTTAGAGCACACAGTACCTGAACAAATTCCACAATGTACATTGACAGATACAAAGCATGTTGACAAAGTCGTGAAGTTAGCTAGTTGGACATAGCTTTGGGCTTTCCTGCAAAAATTACTCTGAATGTCCTTTGTGTAAAATCTTCAGTTTCTGTGTTCTTTGAATGATCTTACTCAAACTTGTGATTTATTTGTCCCTTTCCTCCTTCCCCAATTGTTATTTGGTGTTCTGTCCTAATAAAAATGTCTTAAACTGTCTGTGTAGAGGATGATGCTTCTCTTGAACCTTTACTGTTTTATGAACTCTAGAACTATGCTACAGCAGATGTTCTCATCTGTGGTACAAACAAAAACTTTAATCCAAGGAAAGTTCCTGGTGAGCTTTAACATAGTGGATTTTCATTAGAAATCTTTTGCCTGGGCAACCCTCATGACTCGAACAGCTAGAAATGTCAGATCTGGATATTGGTTCCACCTCTAGCATGACATTTCATGCTTCCATTTGAAAAACAATTTAGGAAAAATATAAGTTGATATTATTCAGTCTTATTTCCAGGTGACTTATACTTTTATTTTTCTTTCTAGGAAAAACTCATTTAGGGTGGCATTGTTTGCTAGGCCAAAGGATTGTTTAGTTTCTTAAAACTGATGAATTTTAGGACTTAATAGTCTCTTGTCAGTCTTTTTACAATCTTTGTTATGTATTTCTGTTTTATCCTATTGTGCTATATATAAAATAGTCTTGTACCTTCATATGATTTCATGTCCAATAAAATGGTCAACCTTATCTTTAAACTTTTTTTATCCTCCTTGGGACATAAACACTATACCTTTAAAATTCAAAATTGCTTACCTACTTGTACCACTGTAACTTTGCCAGCCATTTGATTTCCTTTAGCCAAAATGAAATGTACTACTGTTGTGAGTTAGAGGATCTAATTATATATCCTTTCTTCAGTTTGGTAAATTTTGCCCTACGTGTCTCTTTTCCATACCTTTCCCTATCCCTCTAAATTTTACTTCCTTTACATTTACTTATTATTAGTTATAATCTATAGATGCTGATTTTGTCCTTCCCCAAAGTTACATATATATTCTGCTTCTCACAAATACAGTATTTTTGGTGCTTTACTTTAAAATATGGCTAAATGTCTTCTCTCATGACAGACAAGAGAGGATCTGATGATAAAAAAAGTAGTGTGAAGTCCAGTAGTCGAGAAAAACAGAGTGAAGATCCAAATACTGAATCCAAGGAAAGTGATGCTAAGAATGAGGTCAATGGGACCAGTGAAGACATTAAATCTGAAGGTGACACTCAGTCCAATTAAAACTGATCTGATAAGACCTCAGATCAGACAGAGGTAAGTGTATTATTTCTCACTTTGATTAGGGCTTTTTGTTACTGTTTGACAGTGCAGCGTAAGTATGCACAGATGAAGATGGAACTAAGCCGAGTAAGAAGACATACAAAAGCATCTTCTGAAGGAAAAGACAGTGTAGTCCTGCAAAACATTTTGAGGTACATTGTTTTGTCTCAGCTATTTTGTAGCAGACTCGTGCCCCCATTAAGTGTGCCTCTTTGGAACTATTGTCCACATTTGTAATTTAGTCGCCATAGAACATTTAATTATCCTTTTTTTTTTTTTAGGGATTTTGCTGTCATTTCTTTTTTAAAAAAATTTGAACTGTTTTTTGTTTTTTTGTTTTTGTTTTTGTTTTTTGTTTTTGTTTTTTGGTATTAAGTCCATATTGTGTTGGTACATTGGCAGAGACATTTGCTTTAATACTTAAAAAATATTTCTGAGGCACATGTTGGACTACTTTGTTTTATTTAAACTGCTAGTATTTCTTTGTCAAGGATGTTTCTAGTTTTTTGCTTTATTGCCTTGCATTCTAATGCAGTTTGTTCTGTAACTCGAGAGCCAGTAGCATTGGATTGATGGAAGTGTAGGGTTTATGAATAATTGCAGCTGACTACCATACCTCACACAGCGTTGGTGTTGTGAGCGGCCCCTGAAAAGCCAAATTAAAAATCAAGGATTCAGTCAAACTAAGCAGGTACTCATGCCAGGTACTCCTTTCTCTACCCACATCCATGTTTGAATGCTATTGCCTGTGATCTTTAAGCTGACTGTTGTGTATTCTTTCGTTGTTTACAAGAAACACAGAGGGGTTTTTTTTTGTGTATTGTGTGTAAATCTAATGTTAACAGAATGGAATTTTTTTTCAACTATATGTAGGGATGCAGTGATGCCCAGAATTAGATATCTTTAAAGAATTTTAACATACAATAAACACTCAGTAATCGCCTTGTTACATTCAATGCAATTCAAGTCTTTGAGAGGTATGTCTTTAATATTTCCTACTGTGTAGGAGAACTTGCAGTCAGCCATAGGTATACAGAATAGTTATTGGCTGATACTTAAAGCATATGTAATTAGAGAGGGCAGACACCAGCAATCTGCAAAATACCTGGAAGCTGTTTAACTGGATAGAGTGGCAAGATATACGAGAAGTTGGGTTTTTAAAGAACTCTTTTAAAATCAGGATACGTGTACGTTCTTAAAACCTGTAATCTTTCCATTCTTGGGCTGGTGAAGATTTTTGTGGGAACAAATATTCCTAATGAAAGGAAGTACCAATTAAAAGATATTCTCAGGGCACTTAGTTTCTTCAAATAAAACAGCAGTGCAGTTACAGTGTGTCTAGAACACACATCTACACAAGCACATACACCTATGCATAAGTACATGTATTTTAAAGATACACTTTCATAACTGCATTATGGATCTTTTTCGAACATTTTCCACCAACAGTTGTTGATTACACTAAGCAATTAGTGGCTGGGCCAGCACTTAGTAGTTAAAAGTGGAGCTTTTTATATGTTGTCTAATTATCATTTTTCCCAAAATTTTGCATTGTAGGATTATGATCTGAAGACTTTCAGAAGAATTCTGAAGACAGCGTAAAGTGAAGACCAACTTTAAAATGAGGTGAAAGAAAGCTGTAGTGGCGTAGAAAAAGTATAAAGCTCAGTTAGAATTTTTTTTTTATTAAAAATAAATTCAGGACTTGATGTGACCTCCCAGAGTTCAGAACATGTGTTAATAGCTTATATGCCACTGAGAATTTAGGTCCTGTATCATATTTTCTTTTCTTTAATAAGACTTTTAAAGATAAACATTACCTAAACACGTGACTTGCTCAGTGCTTAATTGCAAGTTTTCATTTTTGGACTTTGAAAACAGGAATAAATGTTAGTATTTGTGTGAATCAAACTAAACTGAATCCCATTTTTACAACTGCTATACCTAGCTTCTTGATATAGAAGTGAAAATAAAGTACCTTTGAACTTTCTGTTACAAATTTGATTGTCTCTGTCATTGAGAAGTTTCAGTATTAACCTTTTACCTAATAAAGTTATTGTCTCTAAACTAGTCCCCCAATTTAGTTTGAATGATCATACAGTGCTTGTGTACTGTTCAACAATTTGATCTATACTGTTAAGATCAACTAATTTAAGCTCTTTGACTGCAATTTTAGATGATTATGAATAAAACTGACTTTTACTTTTTTAGTGAAGATGCATAGAGTGGACTGATGTATTGCAATGTTCTCCCTTGTACTTGAGTGATTTAAATCAAAGGATAATCTAACCAAACCAACATCCCTTATACTTGATTGTGAAAAAGGATTGTTCTAGAAATTCTAGTTTTGAATTTTCTTTTTCTTGTAATTCTTAAGGATTTTGTTACAGCAACACCACCATTGCTTCAGAAATATTTCAAGATCATTTTCATCTGTGCAGGTCCTGTTTGTCTGTTGGTAAATAGGATGGTTTTGAAACATGGGTCATAGTAGAGTACGGCGCTGTTTAAAAAGCCAAAACAGTACCTTAAGTGGGAGATCCTCTTATCCCCCTCTTCAGAAAAGTTAGCAGTTCATATGTTGCTGGTTTATTTGTCAAACTGTTCTAATTTTTATCTAAACTTGTTTTAGCTACACACAGTGAAGAACATAAAGAATAACCACAATAGAGTTTATAAGAGATATCCTTGGGGGTTAGGGAGGAGTTGAGAAGGAAAGACACTGACTTTAGGCCCCCTCAGGCAGATCCTATCTCACAGTCTGTTGCCTGAGTATGTGTCCAAAGGAATATTGTGAGGGGTAGGAGCTTCATTGGCTGACTGAGGCAGCTTAGGTGGCACAGTGGATGTAATACACTGGCCCAGGAGTCAGGAAGATTTGAGTTCAAATGTGCCTCAGACACTATTAGTTTCTTCACTGTAAAACGAGGATAATAACAGCTCTTAATTCCCAGGGTTATTGTGGGGATCAAATGAGGTAATACTTGTAAAGCACTTAGCACAATGCCTGGCCCATAGTAGGTGATATATAACTGCTTATTTCCTTCTCTTCCCTTGACTCTGAAATTGATAAAAATACTACCAATTTTTGTATAGCACTTTGTTTTCCAAAGTACCTATACATACTTTAATTTATTTGTAAGAAAACAGTTGCTGCAGTAGGGTTAATTATGGATTTCTAAATAGAGGGTGGTCAAGTTAAAATTATCAAACAAAGCCAGCACAACTTGAAGTGTGGGTTGCTGATGTATTTTACACACACAATCATATTTTCATTATTGGGAAATGTAGAAAAATGGGCTTGTCAATACTTCTAAGTTCTTCAGTGTCATTACTGACATGTATTTATGATCAAATGCTTAAAACAAAAAAAGTTACCGAGTTTTTTAAAATTCACAACTTTTGGTGATACTTCTTTCAGTTTATGCCAATTTAAAATGCATAATATCAGCTAAGTAGTCATTTGTAAAAATATCTCTACCTTTTAATATTTCAGTGTTTCAAAAGATCCATGATTTCATAATTGTGAAAAGTTCCTCCACTGAAGATCATATCTTCTCTTTCATTTTTTATTTTCTTTTTTAGTGTAATTAATTAAAATTAAACCTCTGCACCTCCCTCTCCTTCCTCCTCCCTTTCCCCTCATTCACAATTCCTTTTTGGCCTGCAAAAATTCACCTCTCTGAACTAGCTAGGCTAGCCCATAGACAATAGATGGCAGTCTTGAGACTTGTCCAGCTTAATAGGACTTGTTGGCATAGCCTTGGAGAAACCAGACCTCTCTTTGTTACGATGAAGCATACAAGTAAGACTTTAGTGGAGGAACTTATGTAATGCTATGCATGAAATTGAAGTTTTTAAATTAAGTGCATGTATGTTTTGTGTAATACTCTTGCTTAGGTTATAATTTGTTTGCATCCTCAATGAGCCAACATTTACTACCCCATAAGGAGCATGGGACGGTTGAGAGCCACCATTGTGTCTGAAGACAATGAGAACTCTAGAGCAGAAGGCTGCTGAAAGAAGTGGACAAATAGCACAATAACCATTTGGCCAAACACCAAGAGTGTTCTTAATATGCATTTTACTTTTAGCTGAGGTCAGTGTCAGTTACTTTACCAGTGAACCTTGAAAATACAGTGTGTATTGTTGTTCATCCAGGGCTGATTGTAAAGTTATGATTGCTTCAGATCCAGGAAGCTTGAATCCAGTCTGAAGCTCATGCCACTCCAGTTTCAGCTTTCTTACTGTATTAAATGTTTTGTTTATAATTTTATGTAACACATGCAAGGCTTCTTCCTATTTCTTTGCATCTATAGTTCTCATAAAGCTGTATGCATGCAGAAGCAAAGCCATGTTTCTTTCCTGGGAAGCTTGGCTTTTTTTTTTTTTTTTTTTAAGATGTAGACTTAATGCTCCACAGCTGGTTGCAAAAATTAAATTGCCTTTTTAAAGGGAAAGTATATCAGTGAAGACAGTGAAAATCTTAGAAATCTAGAGGAGGGGAGTTGAGGTGTAACACATGGCCAGCTTTGACCTGAAATAAGTGGTCATTTGCTGTTTGGGAGTGAGACAGTGCAGGGCTAGGAGCTTGAGTAAAGAGTAGAAGTTTGGAATAGTCAAATGTGGGGGACAAGATAAGAGATTCATGTTGAAATTAATTTGTCAAGCTCTAGTTTGTGGAATGTAAATTTTTAGTGGGTGGACTGCATATGATTTCCTGACTGTTCAGCCTTAGTGGAAGGCAAGGAGCAGAGAAATTAGATGGCAGGATTTACTTGGGGTTGAAGATTATCAGCAGGGTAGGAACTGCCGTCAGCACAAGACAAAAGAACCTCTGGTATGAGGGGCAAGTATGTCATTAAAGTAGCTGACCATTGAGGCAAGTACAAGCTGAGTTCTCTATCTAGAGTGGAGAGAAATGGGAGACTCTTAGAGAGGAGAGCTGGAGATACCAGCAGTCGTAATAAGTGTCAAAAACCAGGTTTTATGTGACTGAGAAAGTTTTACAAGTGTAGCCATAATGGTTTTAGAGAAGAATTTAGAGAAAAGTTTAGGTTCCTAGAGGTGGTGTAGTTTGATGTGATAGTGAGTTATAAGGCCTTACTACTGGTGTTGTGTAACTGAAATGTTGAGATGAGGTCAAATCCTTACTATAAGGGGATAAATTCCTCCTTGAACTCTGAGGAAAGTTTGTTAGAATGATCAGCAATAGGAGTGTTGAAGTCCTGGGAACAGAGTAGAGAGAGTTTCGGTGAGCCAGATACTAAAGTCATTCGAGGAACTTCAAAGGAGGTGGAATTAAGGGAAGATTTGAAAAAGTTAAGATCTTTAATATTCTCTTTTAAAACGTAGAATTAAAAAGGCATTCTTAATTGAAGTTTCACCAAGTTTCAAGTCCTTTGTTGTTTTATTTCTATTGATATCAATAGCTTTAAACTGCATTAAAACTTTCAGGACACTAGATCTATCCTTGTGTCACACCTTATAACACAAGGGAAAAAAAGGAGGTTCAGCAAAACTAATCAACTCATCAATCAACTGGTTCTGACAGTATATACAATATTCCACACTCATAATCTCCCATTTCTGCAAAGAAGAGGAAATGCACAGTCATCTCTTCATCAGGGCCAAATTAAGTGATTATAATTACATAGCATTCAGTTTCAGGGGTTTAAAAAAATTCCACTTATACTGTCATGAATATTGTTTTCCCGCTTCTGTTTACTTGTATTAGTTCATATTTAAGTTTTCTCATTCCTCTTTATTTTTTATTTTTACTTATAACTAAGTTATAACCTATTACATTCTCATATCACAGTTAGTTTCCTGTTCGGTGGGCATGTACTTGGTTTCTAGCTTTTTCGATATTACAAAAAGTGCTGATACAAATATTTTAGTGTATGTGGGACCTGTGTTTTACCTCCTTGGGATCTATGCCTTGCAGTAAGATTTCTAGATCAATGGATTTGGGCATTTTGGTCAATTCAAGTCTTTTATTTTTTAAAAGACCGTGAAGGATAGTTTTATGTTTACTCTGTTTATTTCCAGCTACACTAAGCTTAGTGTGTATTTTAATAATGCTTGTATTTAGGATATCATACAAAATACCAGATAAAAGTTGTCAGATGGTTGGTTAAGAATGTGGGGTGGGGGAGGGGTGTCCTTGGTCGTTGATGAAAATAGAGAAATTCATAGCATGTATTTTAGAAAATCACCCAGTTTCAGGTGAGTGAATTTTCTACTTTGTGTTTGTGGCAGGTGAAAAAGGTATCTTTCTCAGGTGCCAAATTTGGGGTCCTAATAGGTTTTCTTTGAGTTATTTTATTTTATCTTAGCATCATTTGCATTTGGGCTTCTGCCAGAACTGAGGGCTTTTGTTCCTGTCTAGGGCATAGGCAGTGAAACCTCTGTCTCAGAACAATGCCATTACAAATAAATGAGGCTACTGTGCAGAGAAATGCCATGCCAACAGACCACCTTCAACACATTCTTACTTTTTTGATATTTTTCCAATACTCAATAGCTACCATGTGAAAATTTTTGTTTTAGATTGGGGGAGAAGGAGAGACACCCAAAAAAAAGAATAGATGTTTTTTTCTGATCCTACCTAGATTAAAGTTCTGAGTAGTGTGGGACAGACAACTTCAAGGCTTCTTTAAAAAGAAACCTGCATTCATATGTGTGTACACATACATACATGCATGCATGCACATAAATACACACAGAGCTTTAAAATAAATCTCTTCCTAGACTGGGAAGGATTACAGCTGCCAGCCATAGAAGCTTTATGGCAAACTCCTGGCTGTTGTCTTAGAGCCCTGGTTGGCCTGCTTGTTTCCCAGGTTGGTGAGTCCTGCTTTCGTACTAGCATTTCCTAGATATTTAGCATACTTTAGGTGAAGGGTTCTTAACCTGGAGTCCATGAATAGGTTTTAGGGGATTTACAAACTTGGAGGGAAAATGACATTTTCACTAACCTTGAGCTGATATTTAGAATTTCCTTTGATTATTTTTTTAAAAAAATATTCTAAGAAAAAGTCTGTGGGGTTTACCAGATTGCCAAAAAGGATTCAGGACACAAAAAAAGGTTAAAGCATGCTAAAAGTGGAAGATAGGCTGACTTTGTGGAGGGAAGAAGTGATTAAGTGAGCATCTGGGAAGTTTACTTTGGGGGATCAGAGGAGCAAATTATTTTTATTGTCTCATTCTCTTTCCCTACCATTTCAGAGTTAAAATACTAATTTTTAAATAAACGATACTTTTCAAATGGGGAATTGCTTCAAGTGAATATAGTAGGTATATACACTAAGAATGTAATAATTGGTGTCTGGGCTAATAAGCAAAATAATCAACAGCTCTTCTATTAGCATTTCAAAGGGGTGATTTGCTAACTGATTCTGAGTAGCCTGGAGTGGTGGTTTGGTTTGTTTTGGTTTTGATTTATAGGAGTTCTTCTATGAACTTGTTTTCTTAATTTTTATCATTTTCATAGCTATATTTCAGTGTAATTGATTTTTATTATCCTCTGTATTTTATTTCATGCATTTAAAAGCATTCTGAGAAGAGATCCATAGACTTCACAGGATTGCTAACAAAGTCTCTGACAAAAAAAAAAAAGATTAAGAACTGACAGAGTAACTTACAAAACTAAATTGTTTTAGTTAATGAAAGGAGCAAACAGGTATCTAATTCACAAACCAGTTTTAAAGGTGTTAAAGGCTTCCCAACTTCTTTTGTTTTCCACTTCATGTTTTAAGAATCACATTTATTTCCAAATGTTAGTGTTTGGTACATTTGGATCTGATGTTCTACTAAAAAAAGTAGATTTACCTCTATAAAGTATACCATGACATTCTGCATAGAAGAAATATGTTAACCATACCTACATTAATACAGTAGAGCAGTAATATAAACAATTACAAAAACCTAATTTTAGTTCTTATTTTATATTTGGCTTAATTGTGTAATTTTACAAAGTATTTCTTTGGCAATAGGTTGATTTTGGTAATTTGACTTGGGTTGATTTTTTTAAACATTAGTAACATACATTAAGTGCCTATAGTGCACTGTACAGAAACATTTACTAGAGAAGATGATCTGGAGGGTATTGGGTAGTAGAATAAAACAACTGGAATTAAGTAGTTATATTTAAGAGGTACATTTGGATAACCAAGATGCTATGGCAGGCGTGTCATTTTGAGAGGTAATTGAACATGTGTGCTACCATTTTTATAATTTAGAAATTCAGTGCAGTTATATTCACAAGTATCAGATGAAGTACCTAAGCAGGAAAATTAGATTAGCCTGACTTCAAGCAAAGGGGCCCACTAATCCCATGTTTGTTCAGGAGCCAGAGTTGCTCACTGTGGAATGAGGGAACTATATCCTGACACAGTTTATGAGGTGAGGTACCATAACTACTAGCTTCACTCGGTCCTGCCTGATCCTTACTGGTTAGTGTGGTAATGTAGGAGTTTGGGACCTAGTTGCTGCCTAAATAACCAGCTATTAAAAAACAATTATCTTTCAAGAAGCCCATTTAGTACTTCACCTATAGAAGATAATAAATTATTGGTGGATGAATGCTAGCTAATCTTTACTTTTACACATTTCTGTTTAACAAAGTGCTGCTGTTGTATGTATTTGGTACTGGTTTAAGAACTATAGGCTCTTCTGTCCCAACAAAACAAAACATCCATTTTCATTAAAAAACAAAACAAACAAAAAAACACGAAACAACCTGGGAAGTGAAGTTACAGAAAAGTTATATATGAAGAATTATATTTTGCCACAAAACTTCGGTCACAGGTTGGAGCTGAAAGTAGAATCAGATTCTTGATCCATAGCCAGCACTTAGAATTTTTTCCTCAGGTTTTTATATTTGGCTTAGTAAGTCATTTTCGAAGCATTGTGATTGTAGCAGGGTTTCTCTATCAGTGATGGTGTAGATTCTGTCATGCCATGGTTCACTAGAATTAGCTCTAGTTCTTGAAATTCCCGTAGTCTTGAAATATCTTTGTCCTTTTGGGAGTAGGGGAATGACAGAAATCTGTACTTATCTCTTCATGATTGATATGTATAATAACCATGAAAATATGAAGACAGAATCATTTTTGCTAACATTTTCCTGTTCTACAAGTTAATGCTAGAACCAGTTTGACTAGTTCTTACCATTTGCCCCACCCCCAAAATCTACAATTGTTCAGAATTTCTCGATTGTACCCCCATGCAATTTTCTGTGCAGCACATTTCTTTTTTTTTTTTCCTTCTTTTCTTTTTTTGGCTAGGCAATGGAGGTAAGTGACTTGCCCAGGGTCACACAGCTAGTAAGTGTTATGTGTCTGAGGTCAGTTTTGAGCTCAGGTCCTCCTGAATCCAGGGCTGGTGCTCTATCTACTGTGCCACCTAGCTGCCCCTGTGCAGCACATTTGTAAAGAAATCTCATGGCATACTATATGTCAGACAGCAAAAAAACTTTCTTAACAACTAAAAGTATCCATCATAATTGCCAAGAAAATGAGAACTTGTAATAAAAAATAAAATAAAATGTTTTTAAATGGGGCTTTTTTTTTAAATTCAGAAAGGAAAAAATGTTTTATGTTGAGGATACCCCAAAGTATTATTATTATATAAGCTAGGAAGGAGAATTAGTTTATGCTGAGCAAACAAAGGCAAGTTCATTTGGATACTCTCATTGCTGTTAATCTTTTAGTTCTTCCATGCGACTCAGGAAGCAAATGCCATAACTGCAAAACCTTTGCACTCAAAGATTTTCTAATTTTATCAGGTTCATAAATCAGCAGAGTCAACTAATGGCATTTAACATTTTCATATTGTTTTGGAGTGTTGGTAGTGGAGTTGCCCCATTTCTCAGATGGACACCGAGGGTAAGTGATTTGCCCAAAGCACATAGCTCCCAAGCAACAGAAACCAGGGCTGAATTTCCAAGACCTTTTGTATTGAGCTTTACTGCCTTACAATACTGAAACGATTTAACCATGTGCATTACACTGAAATTTATTTTTAGCCCCCAGATAAATCTGGACCCCTTACTTAACCAACTATAACTGCAACCAAGAGTTCAATTTGAATATCATCATTTGGAAACTTACCTTTCTGAGCAGTGTGTTGGGTAACTTTCTAATCTTCATCACTTGCTCAAGGTTAATTCCTAATTCCCGACAACTCACTTGCAATAGGTCCTGATAAGTTAGTTTTTGTCTGTCAAGTTCAATTTCAATGAAGTCATTCTCTCTTGGACTCTGTTTTCTGACTTTAAGCACCAGCTCTAGATTACCCAGAAATTTGAGACAGTTCAAGTGAGGAAGACATTTCGTTTGTATTGCATTCTGCTATTAACTCTACAGTAATAGAAGGAAGCAGTGGCTTAGATCATTCTAAAATTGAGATGTATTTGGTTGTGGAATACATGATTTCTAGCACTTAAACAGTTGCTTAATTATGTTTGGCTTAGGCTATTAAAAATTCTTAAGTGGAGGGGTAGAGCATATGCATAGCATGTAGTGGGCATGGAAGTAATATGTTAACATTTGTGGTGGATTATCTTTTTCTTTTTGGGGGGGGCAGTGGGGGTTAAGTGACTTGCCCAGGGTCACTGTGTCTGAGGTCATATTTGAACTCAAGTCCTCCTGAATCCAGGGCCTGTGCTCTATCCATTGCGCCACCTAGCTGCCCCGTGGTGGATTATCTAATGCTAATTAGATAATTGGACTATATATATATCTATAGAGATATATATCTATATCTATAGATACAGCATTTTATAGTTTACAAGGTACTTCATGGTTTTGAGATAGGTAGTGCAAATAACATTTTGGTGGTTTTATAGATAAAGAAGCAAGTGCAAGTGCAGTGAAAAAAGACAACTTGCTCAGAATCACAAGGCTAATACATAATAAAGCCAGGTGTCGTATCTGAGTCTCGACTCAAGGCCAGCAGCCTTTCACCTCTCCATATAGCCTTTCCACAAAGGCACCTTGGCTAGGGTACCAGCTGTTCTGTTGAAGCTAACCTCTCATAGGAGTTATTTTGGTGCGGTGGGTTCTGATTCTCTAGATAGCATCCTGTGGTGAGGTGCAAGTAGCTTATAACTCCCTGGACTTGTGAGGAGGGAACTCCCCCAGCTGTCATACCTTCACTTTTTGGAAATAAATTTAGCTTGAAATCTTGAGTTGTTCTCAGAGAGGGGAACAGGAAATGGATTCAGACCTCACCTGTGCTGGTGTCATTTTCTGCCCTGGGGAGAAAGGGCGGTGGTGGAGGTGCTGCATCCTTTGGTGCTTTTGCATTTTTGTGTTTCTCTTCATGCTCTTCTGGGAAAGTTGAGAAAAAGTGAGAGTTGTGAAGGTAACCATTTTTGGCTCCATTTCACTGCGCTGGGGCTTTAACCACAAGAACAGGGATCAGACATAAAAGAGTTATAATTAAAAATGTTAATTCCACTCTGATTCCCCCCAGGAAAAAAAAAACAGATGAAAGAAATAGTAATTATTATCAAAAGTGAAAGTCTGATTTTCCTTAATTAGCAAATGGGGTTAAAGAAGCTGACGAAGCATTTTTTAAAGTATGGTGTGATCTAGGGGAAGGAAACACTTACAATCCAGTGACTTGAGTAAAGAATCTCAAAAATACTTGAAATATTTTATGATAGTGTTTTAAGAAATGCTTTGTTTTTCCTGCTCCTCCAGCACAGTTTGTTGTGGAGCCCAAATAACCAGTGTCATATTTCTAGCCACACCTTGGTAACAAAGGCTTACATAGTTCATGTGAAGGATTTCAGCCAAATTGTTGGTCATATAGAAAGCATATGGATGTGTTGCAGAACATTGATTCCCTCCCTGTCTTCAGTTAGTGGTAGGGAATTGAGGTGAATTTACCTTTTTGTGCTGGTGGGTTATAGCACCTTGGTGGGTGTTTTGTTTTGCCACAGGCATTGATATTGGTGCATGGGATTTACAGGGACTTTCACGGAATTTGAAACTGGTAAGGTAAGGGAATTAACACATTATCTAGCATGAGCCTAGAGAGGACAAGTGATTTGCCCAAGGTTATACAGAAACTCAACATCTGAGCTGGAATTTGAGCCCCCAAATTCAAAACTAGTGTTTACACAATGCATTGCTGCCTTTTATTTTATTTTATTTGGGGGGGGGGGTGAGGCAATCAGAGTTAAGTGACTTGCCTAGAGTCACACAACTAGTAAGTGTTACGTGTCTGAGTCCGTTTTTGAACTCCGGTCCTGCTCCAAGGCCATGCTCTATCCACTGCGCCACCTAGCTGCCCCACATTGCTGTCTTTTAGCCAAGGCTTAGATAGTAATTGAGGGGACGTTACAACGAGAGTATGAAAACTAGAGAGGGTTAGGAGTGTAGAAGCTGGCATTTAATCTAAGGCCTTAAAGGTCCTAGGGGTTCCCAGAGGCAGAGATGAAGGAAAGCATTCTAGGCACAAGGAGAATGGCCTGTGCAAAGGAGTTGAGGGAGAAGAGATGAATCTATTGTTTAGGAAAATCACTTTGACAGCCATGTGGAGGATGGACTAGAGAGAGGAAGGCCAAAGATGGTGAGACTAAGCAAGAGGCCATTTCAGTAGTCTAGGAGAGACTAAACTAGGGCAGTTAGCTGTGTGAATACAGATGGACAGATGTGGGGTTAGAATGGATCAGCACTTGGTACAGTACCTGGCACTGGTGATGAGTAAATTATTTGTTAATTGAATAGCAAGCCTCAGTAACTGATTGGATATGGAAGGTGAGGAAGACTGAAAGATCAGAATGGACACCCTCGAACCTGTGACTGGAATGATGTGGTGCCCTCAACAGAAATAGGGAAGTTTCAAGGGATGAGTAATAATAGTTATAGCTCATTTCTATAGTGCTTAAAGTTTATGAAACATTATCTCAGTCCTTTGAGCTAGAGTATTACTGGCTCCAGCACTGCCTAGTTATAGACTATTCAAGTCACAGCTTTTCTGAGCCTCAGTTTCCCATTTGTGAAATGGGGATAATAAACCCTGTAGTACTTACCTCACAGAAAATAGTTGTCCGGATCACTGAAATTGTGCGTATAGCACTTTGCAAACTATAAGTGCTATATAAGTATCAGTTGCCGTTTTATAAATGAGAAAACGGGTAAAGAAATTGACTTGCTGGTGTTAAAAGAGCTAGAGAGTGTGAGAGCTGGAACATGATTATAGGTCTTAGTAGTCTAATTCCAGTGGTTTGACCTTTATAACTATGGGCAATAATATGGCAATAACAGCTCTTTTAAATGGCACTTTAAAAGCACGCACTTCACTAGGGAATGAGGTTATATACAGTAGAATAGTAGTGAGGAACAATAGATAAGTTTCCTTCAAAGGTCAGCTCAGGTATCACCTAATTCATTGAGGCCTTTCCTGATTTCCCCCCATCGTTGGACTTCTAGGGTCTTTCCATACCCACCCACCCACTGCCAAATTGCTTTATATTTATTTTGTATCTACTTTGGTGTGTGTATGCTTGAGGGCAGAAATTTCATTATTGACTCTGAGTCCCCATTGCCTAGCATAGTTTCTTCCCTTGGTGTTTAAATATTTCTTAAATTCAGTTGGATTTCTCCCTGTTTTATAAATGAGGAAATAGACTCACAGAGGTTAAGTAATTATACTGTTAGTATCTAGTTATTAAGGAAATGTTACCCAAAAAATCAATATACATTTGAAAAATAACATGCATGAAATGTTCAGTCTATAGTAGGTATATGTCCTTAGATAGTGAGTCATTTAATGACATGGCTAGTGCTGTTTTGTAGCTTACTGATTCTTAGAGCTCTTGAACCAGATCAAGGATAATATGGTGGACAAGTTGGTCTCCATGCTATGTAGTTTCTTAGCCAAGGCTAAAACAATCAATCCCTGATCCCCTTTCAGCTGACTATGCTTCACTTCACCATCCCTCAACCCCCTAGCTAGGCCTAGACACCCTAGTCTTCACTACCTGGACTTTAGGCAGGGTCACTGCTGTCTCCATATCTACACATTACTGAGGTCTGGAATTTCCTTTAACCCCTCTCTGGTGCAGACTGACTTTGTTCTCAGAGTTTATTAGTGGAATTATCCCTGTATACAGACATTTGCCTCTATTTTGTTGACTGGGAGAGGTTGCATTATTCTTTTCAGGACCAGTCTTTTACTGTCTGACTGCTGCTCTGGGAGAGTGGAAAAATTTTCTTTTAGGCTTTTGAATATTACTCTAGGGTACAGTTCTCACTAAATGGTCTACTTTTATCCTAGTCTTTGAGATGGAGCTAGGAACAATTAGTTTCTTGTAACACCTTTCCCCATTCATGTTTTGAGAGGAGGCAGTCAGAAGATGGCATTTAATACCTGCTTAGTCCACCAGTCTGTCCCTTCCCTATGTCAAGCATTAAGACTGTCAGAAATGAGTGATGATTCTCCAGGTTTCTTTGCCCTGCCTCTTAGCAAGGTCAGTATAATCCCCAAGCAAGCTTAGTGCTATGGCTTCGTTATTCACAAGATAAGGGAACTCTGTTCATGAATTACTATTTCCTGATTCCAGTGTACACCTCTCCTATATGGAAACTTTGTGCCTTAGCAAAGAGGAGGGGAAGTGGCGGAGGTCCTCTGGGATAGTTTGCACGTGCTTATAAGTAAACACCTCATGTGAGCTCAGCTATTCCATTATGTTACCTTCTGTCTCCTCCCTTATGTCTTTATCTGGGCCAGACATCTGATCAGCTCTGATGTGTGTCAGGTCAGTATTCTTCCACACCCAATCTAGGAAAGATGAAAACATGCATTCATAGATCACTCAACTTTCAGAGCATTTTCACATTTGTAAGCATTGACTTAGATTTTGTTGAGCAACGAAGTGCAGGGCACTTTTGGGTAAACCAGGGATTATTCTTCTATAACAGATGGTAAAACTGAGATTCAGAGCAGTTAACTTATTGAAGATGAATTGTAGATGGGAGTGGTTATATCCTGATTTCCAGCCCAGAGTTTTATTCTTTAGATAATACTACAAATAAAAACCACATGGTGGAGAGTATTTGGTGGTCAGTGGAGGGTGAAATAGAAGTGATACTATTTTGGGAGTGTACAGTTGGTTAGTTGGCCAGAACGAATAAATAGATGAGATTAGAAAACATTACAGATCTGGCATGCAGACGTGGTAGTGACAAGGGACTTAAATTAACCAGGGAATTGCTGGAGCTCTCTACCTAAAGCAGGGAAGCTGATAATTTTGACTTGCTGTTAGAATAATTTCATTCCTTAAAAGGTAGAAGAGGATATGAAGGAAACTATTATCAGTAAGGAACTGGTTGCTGATGCAGAAATGACGGTGTTGAGAGGAAGTAACCATTCTATCTTAGAATTCTTGATCAAAAAGGAGAACTTGAGCACAATCTAGTATGCACCATAGACTTTTTTTTTTTTTCAAGGCAATTGGAGTTAAGTGATTTGCCCGGGGTCACATAGGTAGTAAGTGTCAAGTGTCTGAGGTTGGATTTGAACTCAGGTCATCCTGACTCCAGGGCCGGTGCTGTATCCTCTGTGCCACCTAGCTTCACCAGCACCATAGATTTTGAAAGAAAAGATTTCAAAGTTTGGAGAAAGGATATCCTATAGCTTAAAATTCTGCAGGGTAGGTTGGTCCAGGAGGAATAGGAAATATCCAAAAATGAAATTCTAAAGATGCAAACAAATGATCCTGATAGGGAAGAAAATAAGAAATATTTAAAGGGACCACACAGGGAACATCATCCACCAACTCAAATTTTTAAAAAGACATAAATAGAAGCTATAAATAAGGGCAGGTACTGAATCGGTATTGGGGTGTGCCACAATCTTGTAAGAATAATGTCAGGACACATTCAAAAGAATAAGCGATGTCTTCCAGTAAAGAATATGAACAGGTGCTTCTAAAAACTACACAATTTCAGTGCAGTAATATTTGCCTTTTAAAAGTTTATATCTTGCTTTTATATTACCCATTTTCAAATCTATCCCTCTCTCCTCCCTATAGTGCTGTACCTTGTAACCAGGAATGAAAAAGAAAGGACAGCTGAGAAAAACCAGCCATGTAAACTGAGTCTGACAGTATGTGTAGTGTTAAACCCCAGTATTTCTTTACTCTTCAGGAAAAAGGAGGGAGGTGTAGTTTCTCATCTCTTTACATCTCAGTTCTGTCATTACAATTATCTAGTGTTCAGGGTTTTTGGTTCTTTCCATTTATATTATCATTGTGTGGGTTGTTTTCCTGGTTCTATTGACTTCACCCTGCATCAGGTTTTATATAAGTTTTCCTATGCTTTTTTTCAATATTTATATTCATCATTTCTTTTAAAAATATTTTTATTGATATCTTATATTTACATCACCTACATTTCTCCCTCCTCCCTATACCTTCTGAAGAGCTGTCCCTTATGATAATGAGAGGAAAAAGAAAACAATTCAGCAAAACTAAGCAACATAGCAAAAAAAGCCTAAAATTACATGCAGCTTTCCACTCCCATAGCTTTCCAGTTGTGCTAGAAAGTGGGGAGAGGAGCCTTCCAATTCTGATACTCTAATTCTGTAATGGTCCTCTTGTAATGAAAGCCTTATGTAGAAGATTGTACATTTGTTTAAGTCAGGGGTTCTTAACCTGGGGTCCACAGACCCCCAAGGAAGGGATCTGTGGATAGATTTCAGAAGGTTCATGAACTTAAATGGGAAGAAAAACAATCCATCTTGTACTAACCTCTAACAAATTTAGCATTTCCTTATATATTTTTTTTTTTTGGGTAAGGCAATTGGGGTTAAGTGACTTGCCCAAGGTCACACAGCTAGTACGTGTCAAGTGTTTGGTCTCAGGCCGGATTTGAACTGGGGTCCTGACTTCAGGGCCGGTGCTCTATCCACTGCGCCACCTAGCTGCCCCTCCTTTAATTATTTAAAAACATTTTTCTGAGAAGGGGTCCATGAGGCCAAAAAAAAAAAAAAAAAGTTAAGAACCCCTGGTTTGAGTATACCTAATATTTTAGATGACTTTTATATGAAATTCAACTGAGGCAAAGTGTAAGGGCCCTCTGGGTTTACTTTTCCAAAGAAGCACCAATTCAAATCCTAAATGCTACACAGTATACTGTCAGTTTCACCTTCTTGTGTGTGATGGGATTGGAGTAATAGTCACCTCCGGATTGCCAGTGGCAATCTGGTATTAGGAATAGGGACACTAGACTTGGAGTCAGGAGACTTGGGTTTCAGTATTGACTCTGCTAATAATTGTTTTTATGACACTGAGCAGGCCGCTTCAAGGGTTCTCGGTTTTCTCCGTAAAATGAGAGGATTAGACCAGACGAGCTCTTCCAGTTTAAGAATCCTATGTGTGTAATAGCAAAGCTGTCTCTCCCCCACACCCCCAACATGTAGCATGAGGTTGTCATTGTGTGACTCAGTTGGAGGCAGAATAACTTCAACTGTGGGCTCAGTATTAGCTAACCTATCACTGGCAGCTCTATTCAGAGCTAAACACTTTTGCCCAGAATCCCCCTGGTGCCCCTGTATCATTTTGGGCCACAACCAGAGGCCTCGGCGGCTTAGATCTTTACTTTTGTCCCTCAGAAAAAGTACAAACAACAGGTTAATTTTCATTTAGCAAATATTTATCTAGTATCTGCTATGTACAAAACTACATCTAGGTGCTGTTCCTCTGGCCTTTGACACAGGCTAACCTTATTACCTTTGAGAGAGAAGACCCACCTTAGTTTTGTAGTGAGCTGTAATTAGGCCTCCTCCAAGTTGATGCCTCAGGGTAAGCCCAGTCTTTAGTACATTAATACTAAGAGGCTCCTCTCTCTGCCCCTTCCCAGAAATCACATCTGTGACAGCAATAACAGCACAAATGGGAAACAAACATCCTACCTGATAGGCATCTGCCTTAGCAGAGATCCAGGGTTGTTCTCAGGAAAAGATGGATCTGAAATCCACTGACGCCCAATGTTAAACGTGAGGAGACAGGCGCTGGAGCTCCTGGAGCCTCTCTCCCATCCCCAGGTGCGAGGAGGGTTGGGAGGGGCAAGGGCAAGGGCAGGGGCAAAGTCCTGGGCTGGGGATCTGCATGGAGGAGGAAGGGGTGGCACTCCAAGGCTCAAGCATTTGGGGAAATTATTACATATTAAGTGACTTTGTGGTGTTAGGGGTGTCATTGGACCCAGGGTGGGATTTCTCCAGATGGCATGGCCTTGGAAGAAAATGGGTGGGGGTGAGGGTGGGGTGAGGTACAGTGCAGTAGACCTGAATGCTGCCCAACCCTAGGGCAGTGGAATATATAAGTTTCGCTTGATTCTCTGCCCTTTGTCCTGGGCTTTTCCTTTCTACAGGAAACTGCTGCCACTGAGGGGAAGAGGAGGCAGGCTGAGGCCTAGGTGGGTGTGACCAGGAGTAGAATAGTCAAAGCAATTACAAGTTCTTGGTGTATGAGGCTGAGTCTAGAGGAATGGTAGGGAATGGAATGAACTAGTGGAACATAGAGGGGGGAGGGTTTAGTGGTGCCCTACTCATTCATTCACATTTATTGAGTGCCACTCCTTTTTGCAACTGAAAGTGATCTCTACTCTAATTTAGTTTTTTAAGATTTTCTTTTTTATTATGAACTGAAACATGAGAATTTCAATATATAATGAAAAGAAAGGATTTATATATAAATTGAATTGTTAAATGCCGTTTGTTTTTTAGAAGTGTACATTAAATACAACATAATAGTAACAAAACTGCCCTGTTTGTCTGTGATCTCTTCTGAACGTCCTCTCCTTTGTGTATTTTTAATATTTTATTGATTCTATTTTCTTTTTCTTTTGCATTACTATCACTAACTACTAACTCTTCCCTCTACACTGCACGCCCCAGTCTCCTGCACAAAGGAATAAGTATAATCAAACAAAACAAATCAACACATTAACTATATTTGAGAATGTATGTCTTGTTCTTTACTGGGAACTTGGCTTCATCCTCAATCTTCTGAAATCATAATGGTTCATAGAATCTACAATTGGAGTGGTCTGATCTTTTCTGCCCTTCCCTTCTTCTTCTAGCCCAATGGTCAGCCTTCTATAGCTGAAGCTTGTTTTGCCCGTGACTGTTTCCTACCTGGCTCTACCCACCACCACCCCCTTCCTGAACCTCTTATTTCCCTGTTAAATTCAATGTATTTCTACTCCAAAATCTGTGTGCTCCTCCTCCTTTTACCTTTTTCAGATAAGAACCAGGTTCTAAAAATGAGAGGTTCATAAGATGTCCACTCCTCTCACCCTCATGTTGATGTTTATATGCTCCAATGGCATATCCTGCTTATGCTTCTTCATTTCTTCATGTATTCTTTTCCCTTCCCTTTTTTTTTTAGATAAGTGGTGTCAAATAGAAATGATCCCTTTTGGTTGCATATTGACTTGGAAAACCCACAAATTAACATCGATAGTATATCTTTATTTTGTTAAACATTTCCCAGTTACATTTTAATTCAGTTCCTGCCTCACTAGGGAATTTAGTTGGCCATGAGTTTGACACCTCTACTTTAGCCCAACAAACTCAACCAGGCCCTACTTCCTCTGTGACCCTTGAATAAAGTGAACTAAAAGGACTGAGTATCTCCCCTTTTTAGAATGTAAGCACTTGGTCATCCTTTAATTGCTCAAATATATTCACTTTTCTCGGTTTCTTATCTCCTGCATTTGCATTTCAGAGGGTCTACTCCAGCTTTCATCTTTTCATCAGGAATGCTTGAAAAATCCTCTACTCTATTAAAGATTATTTTTTCTTTTTACCCTGTAGGATTATACACAGTATTACAGAATAAGTTATTCTTGGTTATAAGCCTTTTTCTTTTTGGTATGTTGTATTCCAAGATTTCAGAATCCTTATAGT